AGTGCGTGTTTGTGTGCCATCGTAAGTGAGCAGGAGGATGTATCTTTGACATAACTCCTGATGTACTTTGCCAAGGATTTTAAGAAAATCAAGGCTGAAAGGTTTGGAATGAGTAAAAACACTAAGGGGAAATGTGCTCTGGGCTTTCAGGGAAAGAAAAACAAATATTAGTCAGAATCTCAAGTGGATGTCAGAGCAAACTGGATAAGAATAATTAAAACAAAATAGATACAATTGAGAAATTATTTTATTAAAGTTGACCAAATTAAAATGACACAAATTTCAAGGTCTTTCTCTTGCTGTTCTTTGTGCATGACCTAATTAGAATTCTGCCTATCTTATGAAAGCTCTTATCTATAAGTCTGCTGTTTTTTCTCTGAATGATTTTTTTCTTTCTTCTTATGTCACTCTCCCTTGAGACGACCTTCTCCATACCTGTCTAAATTCCTTTCCTATCCACCTCCCCTCTACTATCCCTGAAGCGACTTCTTTTCCCGTAGTTTTCCCCCTGCTCCCTAATCCACCTCCCTTCCTTACGATAATTCCTCTCCTGTTCTCCCCTCCTGCTTCTTTTTCTCAAATCTTTCTCTCATTCCCTTCTCTCTTTGGCAGAGGCTTTCCTGTTCTTTCCTCCCTATCTCTCCCATCCCTTCCTATCCTCTCCCCTCTTAGTTCATTTTCCTCTTGCCTCTCATCCTCCGCTCCATCCATCTTTCACTCCTTTTCCCTAAATCAGTCCTAATAGCCTACAGTGCTGCACATGCTTCAGACGTGCTTGCAGAGAGACGAGGGTGTACAGAGGTACAGGCGCAGTCATTACGCATTGGTACAAACATGTATTACATGTTGATGCAACAGCACGTAGGCTCATGCTGACCTGCGGCTCAATCAGCATCAATGTTCTTATATGTCAAACTGGCATTCACATATGGCAGGGATGTAAATTGAAAGGAAGAAACAGGAAATTGGAAATGTGCTGCAGCAAGCAGAATGGAATGTGGCATGGACAAAAAATAAATTGAGATGAAAGGGATACTATGTGAATAACTGGGTCAAGGATTGAATCTACGATCAAATGGAAAACTGCAGCATTTGGTTTGTGTTTTTTTTTTGTTTTTTTTACAAAACATTCGAATGATACTCAGTATTAAACTACATTAAAAACAGTGTTGGTTAAATGGGTGCATAATCTTTATCACTTGAAATAATTCTGTCTATCAGGGTCAAGGGTCTAGTGCCTATCTCAAGTTTTCCAGGCGAAAGGCAGGTGACTCCCTGGGTGGGTTGCTAGTCCATTGTCAGGTAACACAACAATGATCACACACACACACACACACACACACACACACACACACACACACACACACACACACACACACACACACACACACACACACACACACACACACACACACACACACCTCAGGGTGATTGAGAGACAAAAATTTAAATGACAGTCATGTTTTTGCATTGTGGGAGGACCTGGAGAATCCCACAGAATGCATGGGGTGAAGACTTAATATCCCTCGAAAATCTATCGCATCTAACGACCTTCTTGCTGCAAGGTAACTCTGCTGCAAAACAGTGTAAAATAGCTTCTCTTAACTGTTTGGAATATTGCTTGGACTACATTTAGTCTGTTTTTCGTTGTATTTTTTTCTCAAAAATTTTTAAAACAAAATATTTAGTTTACAAGAAGGCAACAAGACAAGTGTTATGGATCCAATAACAACTTCTCTGTGAGGGATCAGGTTACAGCTGTTTTGCGAAGAAACATGTCTACCATTCTGAATATATATCATAACATTCCAGCTGGACATCACATTACATGTGGTGCAATCTCTGGTTCTTCTTCATCGAAGAAGCTTTCAGCTGAAATCATCACCATTGCTTGTACCCCGCTTTTGTACAACAGATGATAAGTTTTCAAATCTTCGCCCATTCATGAAATGAAATAGCAGCTGGTTCCATCCTAGCACGATGTTCTGTGCCCGTTAGCTTCTGTGCAAAAAGTGGACCTAACCCATGAACTGCTAAGTTCCCGCCTGTCTCCTGCGCTATTGAGCCAGTTATCTACCCATGAACTTGCCAAGCTGCTGTGACTGCATCACAACAGCTGAGCAAATTAACTGAATTTTATCAAAGATGCTACCTCAAGAATGCTTTTTATTCGTAAAAAAAAAAACGTAGATTTGAACAGCTTGTCCAAATATCCAGCCACAAAAGAAAGTCATTAATAACACCTGGTATTTTGGCAAATTGTCCATTATAATCATTCAACCAATATTTAAGTGATGGTTTACCCTTGATTTAAAATAATAATAATTAACGGTTACTTCTGGTTACAGTTAATAATACATTCATAAGCACTGTGGTCAAATTGCACACCACAAAATTTTAACAAAATTTAAGGGAAAACCAGGAATCTGTTCTCCTTCTTTCATATGTCAGAGTTTTCAACTGAATTCCACCATTTCATGCCCAGTGATTTGCTGTCTTCTCCCCTCTGCCTTGGTTCTGTAACCATTAACAGGGGTTTATGGGTAGAGATGCATCGATGCAGTTTTTTTCCCAATCCAATTAAGATACCAAGGCTGAGAATATCAACCCCTACCCATCTTATTCAATTGTTGAATGAATTAACCATATATTTTGCCAGATGAGTAAAGGCTTTAGCCTTGACATAAACATTTTTAAAAAGGGTAATTGTTGGGATCCTGGAGTGTGGCTCTCACTTGGGGCAACTTTTCAACATTCTTTCCTAAAGGTTATATCTGGGAACATGTTGGTGGAGGAGTGCAGGTGTTTTTCATCCAAGTTCGCTAAGGGAGAGGCATATAATGAGCTGACTGCCAGCACTTCATCGCCAGAGTGTTAAACCATGTGGTACGACTCTAGGCAACCTCTAGTATCCTGCGTTTCCCTGTGAAGGGCTGGTTAGACTCCCGCAGCAATGTGTCACAGTGAGCTTGTTGCAGGTAGATGCAGATATTTTTGATTTATTTTGAAACATGGTATGTGTCATGATGGGTTTAAGAGATCTAATCCACATACAGAAACCCACTCAGAGAGCAAGAGAAATAGTTAACAGGTTTATTGGAGAGATTCACAAACTCAAAGAGAGAGAGATAGGATTTGCAGGTTTTCTCAGTGGGGAATCCACCAGTCTGGTGAACCGGAAACTCTAGGAGGGAGATCACAAGGATGAGTTTGAGACCAGTAGGGAAAACGATTGAGGCAGATGAATGTTTTCGAAAAGACTCACATAAAGGGGTTCTTGGGTGATCCCTGGGTCCAGTTTGTGGTGGGATTGTCCAGAGATGATTTTACTAGTGAGAGGGCGGACAGGCAGACTAGAGATGGGTCCAGAGGAGAAACGGAGGGGACTGTCATAGGATTTTCTAGAGGGGGTTTTAACGGCTCAGGTGAAGGTTTCACCTTGCTCAGTGTGAGACAAATGTTTCCTTCCAAGGGGAGAGAAGGACCAGGCTTATCCAGCAGATCAGGAGGGTAATCCTACCGGAGAACACAAATGAGGCAAAGGCAAAAACTTAGACTCAGAGAGACAAAGGCACAAAAGTTAGACTCAGCTAATCTCAGGAGGCTAGAGTACCCAATACTGGCAAACACTCTGGCGTCGAGGTGATGACAGTCCGCTGCTCAAATACTCCTCTGATGATGACCCAACAAGCCGCAGGTTTGGAGGAAAACCCGGAAGCCGTCCTTCAAGCCAAAACAGGCAAAGGGCACCATCTAGTGGTGGAGGGAAAACAAATGGAAAATACAAAAACAATCCCCACAAACAGAACCCTAACAGTTTGCGCTATTTTATACTACGCCACAATACAAGAGGGACAATCACGAACTAGCTGTGAGTCTAGATACGGCCAAGGCGGTGAGTGGGCGAAAAAACACAAGGGGCAAGTTTATGCAACAATGGAGGGAAATGAGATAAGCGAAAAAGAGCGGGGATCCAGGTGGCAAAAAGGGTCCAAGCCTTCTCGAGCACCTTGCTCTTCTAGCTGGTCTATCTTCACGAGTCGTTTTCCACAAAAAGGGTCATACAAACAAAACAAGCCAGTAAGGTACCAAACAGGAAATACGAATAGAGTGGATGTAGATTTGACCAATCAGAGGCCTCCTGTCTTTCTGAGTATAAATCAGCCTTAAGATGGCAATTGTTTCTCTGTCGTAGCTTCCCAGTTTTGTTCCAAGTTGCTCCTCTCCTGAGCTCTTCCGGGGTTTACTCATTTGTAACAAGTTCCTAGAGTGGTTGTTTCCCACTGAGGTGCCTTCCTGGTAGCTTCCTGTAAGGTTACTTCTTGAGAAGCCAAGCTCAAACCAAACCCTGCTGACCCTCCACCGCCTGCGTCAAAGTGCCACCCTGCTTTAAAAACCAGGAGACGAAAGGCTTCATTTATCGGATCGGTGTTTCTCTATATATGGGTTTTCTTCCCCTCTTGCCTACCCTTTCTTTCAGGCATATTTGTGAGGGATAAAAAAATATATAACAAGCAAGCACATTGTGCACTTGCAGAAATAATCAGGTGAGGCGAGGGCACCTGTACCATTGATAGGAAATTAAATTTCTTGAGTTTTTTCTAAAAAGCACAATTTTTGTTGAAGCGAGTCAACTGAAATTGAAGGTTCATATACACGTAATATAATAACCTGGTGTAATTATTTTTATTTTATGCATTCCCATTAGTTCTTCCAGAACTATTATTTAATATTCAAATACCGCAAGGTCTTTTTCCAGCCATCATAAACTAAGCAGGAAAACTTGGAAAAAGCACTGTCTGTGACATATAATGAGTGAGAAAGCAAGAGAGTAAAAGGGAGAATCAACAAGCCAGAACAGCACTCATTTATGCACAAAAGGCACTAGTGAGTGTGTGTGTGAGAAAGAGAAATACACTATGAGGGAGGGCAGGAGTGCGCCAGAGAGGGAGGAGGGACGTGAAAAAAGGGAGGTGGAGGAGAAACAGAGTGATAGCGTGAGATACTGACAGCCAGTCCTGCCACAGAAAAGAGGCAGCAGTAGGAGCGCGAACATCGCCAGCGGATGGGAGACAGACGCTGTGAGCGGACCGAGGATTTTTGGGAATACTCGCTGATGAGGAAGCAACAACAAAGGAAGAAGATGGAATAAAGAAAAAACAAAACAAAGGGCACCTTATTGCTTTTGTGAGCGCCTAACACTTCTGTTTGGACCATCCCACAAGCAGAGCACCAGTGAAAACACATACATATGATATATATATAAAATTCCTATACATATATATCAAATTATGCCTGTTTTCAAAGAAGCTTCAGCTGGACGACTGAATTGACATCAAAAGGCATCAATTTGGAGATAATATGCAGCATCTGTATAGAAACTGTTGCATATTAAATCTTTGATTTTTTTTTTTCTTTTTTTGTTTTTTTTTCAATAGGGGGAAAAAGGGGAAAAAATAGAAAAATTTTAAAATTGGAGTCAGAGTAACCGATGCAAGATTATCTCTAAAGTGCTTTTGCTGTGCTTTGTCCCGCATTCGCATAAGGGTTTCTTTTGAAAACAGGATCTTTTTTGATCTGCCCTTGGTGCCACACTGCCATTCAGCTGTCGCATCTCCACTTGTCTCTGTCCTCCATGCAGGCTGGGATAGCTTTGTTCCAGCCAGACTCATGCAAGCGCTCTTCTGAAAGTGCATAGGGCAGTCCAGGGGCTCCTTGACCCCAAGTTGGTATTTCCTTTGCAGCGGCTAAACAAAATCCTACTGGGTCAGAGAAGAAAGGGTGAGGTAAGCTATAAAAAAGATAAAAACATCAAGGGAAGGATGGTGGAAATCAGGACAAGAGCATGCAATGAAAACAAAAAGTTAGCTGTAGACAAAGAAAGCGAGTGAAAAACAAAACCCTGATGTAAGAAGAAGCCATTGTCTGCTCCAAAATAGACAAATCATTTTAACCCATTAATCTTCTCTTCCTTTCTTGGAAAATTTTCCAAGACATTAATATAATAGCTTCAGTGCAGGAGCCCTTCTTGATCTCTTTCCCCTCTCTTCACCTCTGCAATTGTAGGGTAGACCTAAGAAGCTGAAAGTCGAGAGTGGTGTCCTGTGTCTGTCAGAGACCCTTGGATCCAGGGAGAGGAGGGGTCTCAGTGGAGCAACAGCAGCAGCATCAGCCCTGCGCACGCTGAGTGCAAAAAAAGCCATTGGACTCCTGTGTGTGCCACTTAAAAGCTCCAGACTGATACTAACGGTGTTCTTTCATCAGGGAATTAAGCTGTTTGTGGATGTGCGCATGTGGAAGGATGGATGTGCATGATTGAGAGATAAAAAGCCTCAGGTGCACTTCTGGACTGTTTTCACCACAAGATTCTAACTTTACGAGAGCCTGGAGTGATGCTCTAAAGACATTTCACAGCTGCTGTTACCTGTTGGTTATTGTGCTGAAAATAGAAAGCAGCAGATTAGCTAAGAAAGACGCCTGCAGTTGAACGACTGAAAGCCACACTTTTCAGAGAGAAAAGTTTTCCGAAGTGGACTACAGTGACATGGCGAATGCAAAAATAAAAAAGCTTCTTTTCAGCAGTGACATTGAGAGTAGCAGGAGCATAGATGCAAGTTAAGATCTGTGAAGGACTTTTTTTTTCTTTTGGACACCAGAACCTATCTGACTTCAATGCTGAGGTGTTATCCACTCAGGAATATGAGTCTATCTTTGGAGTGAAAAATCTTACATGTGGGAACCTTTTGCTAACTGCAGGTTTGGATTCGCTTTGTCCACCAGCACCATTGGGAACCTACATTTCTCACTTTTCACAGATTATTCAAGCACTCTGTGGTGCTGAAAATGCCAGGGGCAAGTTCATTCATAGGTAATTCGTCCTCCTAAATTGGATCCTCCTATCCAAGAGTCTGGATTTGTCTAAAACCACCGTTGCTGTGTGCTGTAGACTTGAATGGCTTCATAAAAGGTGATTTCTGCTGACTTCTTTCTTATTAGCTTCTATAAACAAACATTACCACACACTCAATCAAATGTCATGAATGTATAGTGGCTCTGTGAATGTTTGTGTCCACAGGAGTCTCATTAATTTCTTTCGCAGTAACAGATCATTCATGACTGCCAAAACTGTAATAAATACAAATCTATATTTGATGAATAGACAGAAGTAATATCAGATTGTTTAGCAGAAGCAACTTTTTTGATCAGGCTATATATACCTCATGCAACCCTGTTTAATTCAATTCTACATTTTGATTGTACCCGAAAAAAGGAAAATGACATTTTTACCACACCAGTTGAACTCAACTGATATAAAAAGTTTCTAACTATGTTCTAACTTGACCTCAGATCTGCAGCGGTAAAACTTTTCTGACCAATTTGTTATCTCCATTTTTTAAAAGCTTTTCACCTGCAAAAAATGATTTGACCAAATTTGTCATTAAGAACTTAAGCAACATTTAAAAAATTTGTCTGGACCACATAATGTGCCAAATTTTGTTTGGGATTAGATGTGATATCACACTTTGTGTGAAAGAAAGCACTTGATGTAAAACATGGTTTACTATTTTCAAATAAAGACATAAATTAAATTCATATTTAAAGTAAAATTTAGCCTTGAACACCTGTTTACAAGTCGAATTATTCTAACAACAAATGTCAAAAGGTTTAAAAAGACCAAACAAAGGATTTCTCCTTGATTGCATTTAGCTGTTATGCCAGATGCTGAAGTCAGAACTACAGTAAGGTCTATAATTCCCTATTTCAATTCAATAAAACATCAGAACATTAAAGCCAATTTTCGGACCGAAAACAGTCGTAAGCATTAGTAACACCACAAGAGTACAAAATATTAAGAGAGGGACTACCATGCCAGCATATCTGTGCTTCCTCTGACCTTATCTTTAAACATCTATCTCATAGTGGTGGTAATTTAGCCTCTTTAACAAAATAAATCCTCAGACACCAATGCCCTCTTTAGTTTGCCTCATATTACTGATTTTATAACAATCAAGTATGAATATGAGCTTTCATAATTGAAAGCTGCAACACAAAAAAGAAACACGTACACCCCTTACATTGTTTACCTTGAGACATAACAGTGTCTTGGGATTCTTCATCTATTTCTTTTTTTCTTCTTCAGAATAACCACTGCTGGGGTAATTACCCCTGAGTTATGCTCATTATCTATTTTGTCTGAAATCATTTCACTGGCTTAATCATTCAATTTATATTTCTGGTAAGAAATATATGGGCCTTATGCAGTGTAGTCCCAAGGTATGTTTACTTTAATGTTTGGCTACCTGGTTGCACCATCCATCTGTAATTGCTAGATCACATCCTCAAACTTACCTAAACATGATCAGAAAATATAGGCCTAGCACTTAATGTATTTGATCAGAAGTATAATAGTACTGGACTAACCTTACTCCCTTATTCCCCTTAGGTCTCAGTCATTTAAGAAAACTATTCATGGCAAAGGCTTTAAACCTTTCTAAATTGCATTTCTGTAAAATTATACAAAAAAAAACTTTGATCACGATGTTGCTAAACAAAGTTACGGTAAATTAAATAATATCCCATTTAACACATAACTAAAAAGGTAGGACATTAGGCTTAACTAGGGATGGTTTATGCTAAATTCTTGCCAAGCGCTTCTAATATGAGCCTTGTATGTGGCGAATATTAACCAATTATAGTACTGTACGTATATGCACCTTAGCTGCTATTAGATCAGAAGGAATTTTGAGACAAGTTTGCAAATATACTGTGTAATAAGCTGTTTATAACATGAAAGAGGGTTGCATTTACTTCACTTAGCAGCAGCTTCCTCACCAAAGTGTGTTATCACTATCACAATACAGCAGATTTAGATCTGATGCATTAACTGGTTCAAAACATGTTTTGGGTTTATTTCACCAGCCAATCCCCCTTACATCCTTCTAAATATCATGAGGAGTTATGTCTATAAAATATTAAATTACCCCACCCTGAAAGGGCACCACAAATTGTGTTATTTGTCTTTAAATATACTGATCTGTCTTTGCTTTAAAATGAGATGTTTAACTCTCTGTTGTTGTTTCTTAAATTGCAGGAGCTTGTTGGTCTTCCAAAACCTCTCCCTTAACCGAACTGAGAAGCTTGAATAACTCAGAGTAAGTCCAGCATGGCATCTCCAGTTTGTTCACTCTTGTTGAACTTTTCATTGGCCATGTTACTGGGTCTGACCAACCTGAGCAGACTGAACTCATGGCCATCAGGTCAAGTCTTAGCACAAATATCTTCAAACAACCAGACCACAGAATCATCTGTGGTACCAGAGGCAGCACTGGCAACACCAACACCAGATCCAGGGCAACAAACAGACTCAAGCAATGGGAACCGCTGCTGGGGGTACTATGACGTCATGGGCCAGTGGGACCCACCATTTAACTGTAACGCAGGCATCTACCTGTTCTGTTGTGGTTCTTGCTTCTACCGCTTCTGCTGCCAGTTCAGAATCCACAGTTTGGACCAGAGCTCCTGCTCCAACTATGACACACCTGTGTGGGCAAACACCGGGAAACCTGGGATACCTGTCACAGAGGTTCATCAGGAACCAGACCGGGATCGGACCCACATGATTGTTTATATTATCTGTGGTGTGGTGGCCATCATGGTGCTGGTGGGAATTTTCACAAAGCTGGGACTGGAAAAGAGTCAAGGAGGTCAAACTGACATGACAAACTCAAGGTAAGAACAAAAAAGGATGTTTGAATGATTTCATTTATTTAAAATATTGAGCAGTTTTTTTGAATAGCCAATTATATCCACTGTAGTTAGCAAATTGATCTGGTTAGATTCTACAGTTTAATTGGAATGATATAGGTAAAAATATTAGAAGCTAGGTGAGGAGGTTTTTATAGCTTATGTGTCCACCAGGTCTTTGTTCTGGCTTGTCTTTGTTGTTTTAAGTTTAACTAAACAATTGATGGTTGCAGCTATATAGTCAGTTAATCCAAATATAAGAACAGAGGCAACTTTTCCTTTTTCAATGCAAATAAAAAAATATTTCTTCAACAGTTCGATCATTTTTTATTTTAATTCATATTACACTCTAATGATTTAAAACCTCATTTAGAAAAAGCATAAAAATGTACATTCTCATAGAGAACGCAAGACATCATAAAAACAGGAAGCAATATAAATAAAAAGAATAAACAGTTTAGAAGTCAGAAAATACCAAAGAACATTCTTGATTCAAACAAAAATGCATATGACTCCAGCCTCATTGTGCAAAATTAGGGCAAACAGTTTAGAGGCACAACTTTATTTTATGTTTTGCATTTATTTTGAGCAGCCAAAATGCTGAAAGCATTAAGGCACAACCAGTGGAATGTGGCACAAGTTCTGATGTAGTTTTATAATTTAATATCATCAAACCGTTGAATGATTGGGAATTACATTTTTTTTGCAAATGTGTCGGAAGGCAACCAATGAACCAACCAGAGGCAATAGAAGTGTGCAGAAAGTAGATGGAAAGGTCATACAGAGGCACATAGAGAGACAACAAATTAAACGGGAGCATGGAGATTCCAGCGCAGAAGTGAGCTAATGGTTAGTGAGGAGTTCTGGGAATCATGGCAAACGGGTCGCTGTGATTACTCTGTTCTGGTGGTGCAGTGTCACATTGATGGCTGATTGATTGCTGTGACACAACTATGACTGTGGCAATGCGGGGGCTTTAGAGAGCAATGAGAAGAGTGAGGGTGGTTTTAGGAAGAGTGGAATATTGAGCTGATCTGACTGGAAAGCAGCCAGTGGCTAGTACAAAGAGCAGGAGAGCCTGTTTGTTTGCGTGAGAGCAAGACAAAAGCCTGAAGAGGAAAATAGGGGGGAGGGGAAGTAAGGTGTGATTGGGTGTGAAATTCTGTGTCTATCTTACCCCTTTGCCATTGGCCGAAAAAAACTATATAAACCTGCAAACAATCAGCTTTTAGTGGCAGTAGGAAAGGCCCAGTGACCCGCATTGATCTGCATCAAACGGCTCGGCAAGCGACGTGGGTTAAAATCGCCTTCAAACAGCTCGGCTCTGATCAGCATACAGTGGGAACCCGCGTCGACACACTACTTTACGGGATACCCTTGAGCGTAACATACATACGTCACAACACCATGCCAGTCAAGTCTGATATGCAAGCCAAAATAACTCTGCGTAGCCCTGGGAAAAAGGGATTTGAAAGGACAAAAGACCGAAACAATACATCATACTTACTATGTCCTGGACCCTTCTATGTTGCTTTCCTTTGTTTACTTTGACAATTTTTTACGCACTGATAACATCATCAACCAGCAAGACGTGGGGGAAGGAGGCCACATAACTTGCCAGCTGGGCGTCAGACCCAGCTTTTTTTGCCAAATGGGAAAAGAGCCAAATGTTGACTGTTAGCAGGTCAACCCGCATTTCAAAAACCCGCGCTAACTTGCTAATTTCTGTGGAAAAGTAGGTTTATCCTCTATTAGCTTACCAGTGCAACAAGCTGGATGAAGATAGATGTTTTATAGCTAAAACTGTACTGAGTCACCATCAACATGTCATAAACTGAACTCTCTTGTTACATTTTGGTGCCAGGTTTTATACTTGTGCAAGACTACTACCCAGAAAGAGTGCCATCCTATTTCTAACCCATGACATTTCCACATTACAATTGCAAACCTCAATAAATATGCTATGCTCTTCATGTGAAATCAACACAAACTTATGCATAATTGTTAAGCTGATGAACATGTGTATTTATCCACTGATTATAACTACTTATCTAACAACTAAAAGATACCACAGAATGGGAGAATATGAACAGAATGAAGCAGAAGGATGAAAAAGGGGTTCAGCAGTTTAAGCCAATAGCAGCATAACTGTAGAGATAGTGCAGTTTTAAGCCTAGCCATAAAAGTAAACAGGGTTTCTGCCTCATGGATTAAAACACAAGAGAGGAGCCTGATAACTAAAAGATCTGCCTCCCATTCTACTTCTATAATACTCTAGGAACCACAAGTAAACCTGCAGCTTGAGAGCCAAGTGTTCTGTTAGGAACATTAAAGGCCTTATATTTGAGAAGGAGAGAATCTAAAAAACAAGACATGTGATCTATGTTTTTAATTTTTATTAGAACTCTGGCTACAGCATTTTAAATCAGCTGAAGGCTTTTAATAATCTAGCCTTGAAGTAACACATGCTTGGAGTTGTTTCTCAGCATCACCCGGACCGGATATTTCCAATTTTTGAAATGTTCCGGAGATGACAGAAGGAAACTGTAGAAACCTCTTTGATTTAAATGACAGGTCCTGATGAAAAATAACAACACTGCTTTATACTTTGTAATCTGAGATCAATTTAATCCTGACCAAATGTAGTGACTGACTAATCAGCTTCTTTTTCAAAGACTCGGGTAGAAAATTATGAATCCTTCAGGTTTTTATGTCTTCAAGACATGCCTGTAATCTATGTAATGGGTGAGTTTAATCAAGATTTATAGACAGATATAGCTGAGTATCATCAGCATAACAGCGGAAACTAATCCCATGCTGTCTAAATTATATATATATATATATATATATATACACAAAGTAAAAGAGAAATAGCCCCATTTTGGTACTTCACAGGTTACCCTGAAGCATGAGGAAGATTTATCTTTAACAGGAACAAACTGAAATATGTTATATTCTCTCTGTAACAATAGTAGAATTATGTTACACTATGTTTACTGTATATTTACCAATCCTTTTTATTAGCTGGATTCACTCAGGGGCATTATTTCATTTGATGTGTTCATTTGAAGACTTCAGAATTGTGAAGTTCCAGCAAAAGATTGGTCACATCAACAGATTGCTCCAATAGCACTGTAGAACTGTGTAACACCCCAGGAGTTATGATCAGCCTGAGATTGACTTGGTGTGACTTTTCTTCGATGGTGCACCTGAATAATATCCTTTTGTGTAAAAAACAAAACCAGAATAATGGAAACTTCTCACTCCTGGATGTTACTACCATGTATCTCTGTCAAATATGTACAAATATATATATATATATATATATATATATATATATATATATATATATATATATATATATATATATATATATATTCTGGTGCAAATGTGCCTTTTATTTCCTTTTTTAAAAAAAGGGACAAGAGTCACTGAGAGACTAATAACCACAAAAATGGAGAGACAAAAAATGTAAAAACATTATTACAAAGATTAAGACATAGGGAACACAGGGCTTAAAGGAAGTGACACTTGGGACCAGCTCATTTTACAACCCAGTAACCAACTACAGCTGTTTATTTTATATCTGCCAGAGTGAGTATGTGTGTTTGTGTGAAAGAGAGAGACATATAGAGGAGACAGAGACGACACAAGTGCTAACCACTTTAATGATGTGGAGACTCTGTTGGACCATAACAGATTGTCAGAGAGAGATACAAAAAGAGAAAGTCATCCAAGATATTTGAAGGTTTTAGCAAACATTGTGTGTCATCCAAATGATTTTCCACTTAGAGATGAGAGGAATGGGCTTTTGCTGTTCTGGATAATGCCTTGACAAAATGTCTTTATAATGACCAACATTATATTGTTTTAAGGTTATAAATTTAGGGTAGTGTTTCTCCTAGTACCCCTAGTGGCCCATGAGTGCATTGCAAGGGGTACCTCAAAAACTTTTTTTCTTAGGTACTAGCATTATATAGGGCATGGATTCTGTTTTGCTTTGTGAGGAGCGTAATTGAAAGATTAAACTCTCATCAACCAAAAAGTATGTTTTTCTTATATGTTTGAGTTCACCTTCAGCTGCGACACACATCAAAACCAAGCAGAGGAATAGACTGGATGTATAGAACAGCCTGGTATCAGCAGTTATTCACACTTAGCTATCGGAGCTCATCAAAGCAAGCTCAGGTGTCTTGATGAAAACAAAGCCAAACTAATTGAGTCAGTCTAACTATAATTTTTCTTCTGTATTTCAGTTCCAATTCATCAAGTTTAAACGTGATTATAAGAGAGCTCCCGTTTTATAAATGCAGGTTTATAATATAATATTAGTTTGTATTTATTTTGATCCCTTACTAACCAGGCAACATATCCATGTTTTTTTATTAAAAGATACATTTTATAATCAGTTATTGTATATTCCACTTTTGGACAATTATCAATACTTTTGACTGAGAGGGGTACTCATGGTGCGAAAAAATGCCCAAAGGTGTATACAAGTCAAAAAAGGTTGGGAAACACTGGTTTACGGTATAGATGATAGTAGCAGTGGTGTTATAACTTCACAGAGTAGAATAGAACGGAAAAGAAAATCCCTTCATTGTCCCAAAATGGGGAAATTGTGGTTTTACAGCAAAAGCAAGTTCAATTGTGTGACTGAAAATTCTTTCACAACTGTAGAGAAACTACAAAGAAACCTCATTTCATCCAGCTCTCCCTCCATCCTACTGTGCGTGCGATTAGGGAGAAATGTGTTTACCTATATACATTAAAGGTGAAAGCACTACTAGAGGTTCATGCATAGGCAGCCACAATAAATAATTAGGCTGCTCATCTGAGCATGAACACCCTCTATGCATATCTACACTCCAGTAAAGCATTCTGTCTGTTTTTTACTTCTTCCAAGGTAGCTAAACCTTTTGCCGTCAAGCTTTAGCTGGTTTCATATTGAATAGAAACCACAAAAAAGGCAAACATATGGCCAA